GGGTTTAGGGGATTACGGGTTTAGGGGTTTAGGGTTTAACCCTAAACCCTCACGGCCCAAAGCCCTTAAGCCCAAAGCCACAGAAACGCCTCCGAAGGCTGGTTCGCACTGGACGCCATTGCAGCAATCCCATGGTCTTGGATTCTTAGTAGCTGAGTGAGTACACTTTACACTTTTTGTGAGTATATGATTCCTTTTAGAACTGAAAGTGTACACTTTTTGTGGCTTACGAACTCAGCAACTAAGGATTGGAGACAGCACGGCAGCGCAGGTGGATATGTAGGGACAATGGGAGCAATGATTAATGATGATGGGTCTGATGGCAGTATCATCGCTATGATTCCTGCCATTTTCCCTCACTCGCAGTAGTCATCGTAGTATAGTAGGAAGAGGAGTTCTTGGAGGTTCATGGGTAGTTCTAAGTGGGGTTACAAGTCCCCTAATATAGGTTATAACTATAGTTACCCTACTTATAACTCCTTATAACTACCCATGAACCTCCAAGTAAACCCTTAAATTAACCCTAAACCCTTAGCCCATAGGGTTTTGGGGCCCCTTATACTGTACTTATAATAAGGAACCCCCAATATACTGGAGGAGAAGTAGCATCCATCCTCACAGCCTTGGAAATCCGAAGGCCTGATCTGCGGCTTCGAAGCAGTAAGGTAATGGTTTAGGGTTGTTGGGCTTCAAACCCTAGGATTTAGGGTTTAAAGTTTAAACCATAAACCCTATACACCCCAAAACCCTATAACTCTATGAACAAGAGACATACCCAGAGACTCCAATGTCCCTGAATTAAGGAATATACCTTAAATCATATTAGGGATCCTACTATAATTTAATGTATATTCCTTAGTTAAGGGATATTGGAGTCTCTGGGTATCTTATTATACACTGATTTTCTGCTGCCTTCCGAGTGATTGTTTGCATCTGCAGATGACGCGAAGCTTGAAAGTGGTCCGCCTGGTGCGCCTGGCACGCCTGCTGCGGCTGGCGAAGTGACCTGTCGACCAATTAAGGGTTTAGGGTTTAGGGTTCTTGGTTCTTGGGCTTCGGGTTTTAAGGCTTTCTGCGTCCCTCCGAATGTCGTCAAGGAGCTTGAGGCTGCAGGTTTGGGATCTTTGGAAGCTTGGTGGTTTGAGCCATAAACCCTAAACCCCTGTGTCGGATACGCCTGAACAGGAACGTCAGGCTGCAACGGCTTTCGAGCAGAAGTGCAGGTGCTAACGGTACCTCCAGGATCATGGGACGTAGTGAAAAGCTTAGTACTTCAATGAGGCAGGGCATTATTCAATCTCAAGTATACTTACCTTGATAAATTGGAAACCCTAAACCCCTTAAAGGGGAGCCTATGATAGAAGCCTATACTACCCTTAAAGGGGACCCTATTATAGAACCCTATACTACCCTTAGATTGCTTAACGCCCTGGTTACTGCGTGCCATGATTTTCTCAGAACCCTGAAGCCCCTACCCGACCGTCTCCCTTGCAGTTCCTTTCTGGGTGTTACCTTATCGGATCCTAATTATAGTGCTTGTTAAACCCCCAAAAGAGGAACTGCAATGGAGACCATAGGTATTATAGCACCCTTTAAGCAACCCTTGAAGGAACCCTTTATAGAGAGAACCCTTTGAGCAGCTCTTTAAGGAACCCTTTATAGAACCCTTTAAGGCACCCTTTAAGGACCCTAACCCGAAACCCTAAACCCTAAACCCTAAACCCTTTATATGGGTAGTTGTCAAAATTACGGTCCCTTTTGGGGTACCCTAAATAATAGGTGCCGTACTATAACAAGGACCCAAAAAGGGACCATAATTTTGACAACCACCCATATGTATTAAAGCTCGAGACGCCAAGCCCTCTGCAGGCCTAGGCATGGGGAGTCCCATCTAGCGACCCCGAGCCTCTGTTTAGGTTCAGCGTTGAGGGTTCAGGGTTGAGGGTTTAGGAACGCCTTTGTGTTTAGGGTTTAGGGTTTAGATTTCGGGTTGGGGGTTTAGGGTTTAGGTTTAGGGTTGAGGGTTTAGGAACGCCTTTGTGTTTAGGGTTTAGGGTTTAGGGTTTAGGGTTCAGGTTTAGGGTTGGGGGTTTAAGGTTTAGGTTTGGGGTTGAGGGTTTAGGAATCCCTTTACACAAGCCCCTAAACCCTGTTTACGCGATTCCTGGGTCATGCAAGTACGCTTGATTTGGAATTCCTTTGTAAACCTTCGTGATGTAGGAAACTTATTACGTTTAGCAATCCGTTTAGAACCGTACGAAACCCCGTACCTTTTGCCTACAGTAACCCAGATTGCCAAAGGCCCTATATGCTAAATCCCTAAGCCCTAGAAATCCTAAACCTTTAAAGCCTTAGGCCTAAACCCCAAGCCGTAAAGGCCCAATTGTCTAAATGCTAGACCCTTAAAGCCCTAGAAACCGTACCCCTTAAAAGAAAGGCCCCAAGGGCTAGTTAGGGTTTCGGGACCCTAAACCCTGAACCCTAAACCCTAAACCCTAAACCCTAAACCTTAAACCTTAAACCCTAAACCCTAAACCTTAAACCGTTAGGGTTTGGGGTTTAGGGCTCAGGGCTGAGAATTCCGAGGCTGCGGCAGATCACCGAGCTCCTGAGCTTACAAAGCTCTCATCCGGATTTAGAGTTTTCTAGGGTTCCTTTTCAGGTCGGCTTTTGGGGTCTTTGTAAGTGGTCTAGGGTTTCAAGGTTAAGGGTTTTTAGCTTAAGGGGCTAGGGCTTTGGGATTTAGTGTTTGCAGGTTTTAGGGTTTGGGGTTCAGTTTTTGTTGTTCATGGCTTGGGGTTTAGGGTTTAGGGTTTTGGCCTTCGTGGCCGGCTCAAAACCTTCACAAATATATCGGCGCTACAACAGACATTAAGCCTACTTTACAGTATACCGAAAGCCTACTCTACAGTAGCGGGAAGGTTTCGTCCGGCCCTCTTTTCATTGTGTGTTCGAGTCATAAAGACATGAAGCAAGCCCAAAACTCAAGTTGCAAAGAAAGACACTTGGTACAAGCACCAGAAAGGACACTAGAAACTCTCTCTTATTTTCTACAAAATCATAATTAAGGCGCGTTCCAGAGAAATTAAATTGTATTTGTGCGTGCAAATCCTGTTATGGTGCTTTGGTATGGTGTTCTTCACTGGCTGGCATACTCATCCTGTGGTAGATTCCATTTCATGCATCCGGCTTCTCTTCCAAGGCGGTAAGTAACTGTGACTAACCATATACAACATACCCTAAACCCTAAACCCTAAGCCTAAACCCATAACCCAGCAGCCCACTATTTAGGCATCAGGGGCCCTAGGAACAGACACGGAACTCTCCCCTCCTTGCGATGCGTGGGAACTCCAAAAGCTGGACTGAAACCCTGAAGGCATCATTGGGAGCTAGGATTAGGGTTTAGGGTTTAGGGTTTAGGGTTTAGGGGTTAAGGCTAGGGGATATAGACCCTCTCAATAAGGTCCCTTTTAAGAGAGCCAAAAGTAGGGTTCAGAAGGGGTACCCTTGAAGGGCTACCCCTAATAATACTACCTAATCTTCGCTCCCTATGGCTTCGGAAATCGCCCGCAAATTAGCAACTAACCCGTGCAAGCAAACCCTAAACCTCTAAACCCCTGAACCCCAAACCCTAAACCAAAGAAACCTTTCCGAAACCCTGAAGAGAGAGAGACAGAGAGAGAGAGAGAGAGAGAGACAGAGAGAGAGAGAGAGAGACAGAGAGACAGAGAGACAGGGAGACAGTGAGAGAGAGGGAGAGAGACATGAACTTCGGGGACTCTGCCTTGAGAGCTGTCCTCTTGGCACTGTAGGGCTTTTTAGGGTTTAGGGTTTAGCGAGGAGTAGTTCAAGTCTAAAGTTCTAAAGTACATGATTCTGGAATCTTATCAAGGCTTCGTCGTTAGTGTCCTTAATCCCGAATTCGAAGCCCTAGTGCTAGACCTGCCTTCCATGGGCAAGGGCCGCCGAAATGTTCATGGAGGGCAAGTACCTGGCTGAGCTGATCATGGGCTTCGGCAAGGCCGGTGCCTTCTGGTCTCACGAAGTCTTGCTTGCGACAGATCCGGGTTTCGGTTTACAAACTAGGACTAGGAGTCGCCAAGCAGTAGCATTTTTGGGGTGTGTGTGGGTGTGTGTGTGTGTGTGTGCGGTGGCCGCTGTTGGCAGTCTCGGCACCACCCACACCACCATCACGCCAACTGCTAGCACCACTGTGTTTCTTTTCCCACCAGTACTGCTGCGCTGCTGCTCCTTCTGCCGCTTCTGCTGCAACTTACTGCACTTGCCACTTGCTCCTTTCGCTCGACGACATTGACGAACAACGAACAACGGAGAGCATCAACCTGACCACTGCAACGGAGAAGGCACAGGATTGGCTGTCCAGTTGGTACGCATTCTTCTGCGATGGTTTGTCCTGGGGTCGTCAGTACAACAATTGCTGAAACCGCAAGCAGTGAGATGCCGGTCACTTTTTGCAGGGTTGCAAGTAGGATAACTACAATTATAGCCCTTTTAAGTGACGTATAACCTCACTATAAAGACCATAAACCCTAAACCCTATATTATTGCAGAACCTTTAGGGAGCCCTACCTATAACCTCACTTATGACCCATGAGACGCCGACACCCGCCAGTGTTCAACTCTTTTCGGGCCGATCGTATAGCCAGAAGAACCCTAAGCTACCACAACCTGTTCTTTTCTTCAGTCAAGGGTCCTGACAAAAGCCTTTCTAGAAACCCTACAGAAATCACCGCGTATGGTAGTTGAAGGGAGTCCTGCTTTTGTCAAGCGTTTCTTCTCCCTAAGCCCCAAACCGCTCTTGTTAGGTGCTTCTCCTGCCTAAACCCTAAACCCTAAACCCCAAACCGCTCTTGTAAGGTGCTGCTCCTTCCTAAACTCCCAAACCGCTTTCAAACCGCATTTGTTAGGTGCTTCTCCGCTTCTCCTTCTTAAACCCAAAACTACCGCTCAAATGGCTCTTTTTAGGTGCTTCTCCTTCCTAAGCCCTAAACTCCCACACCCCAACCCTAAACTCCCGAACTCCAAACCGCTCTTGGTAGGTGCTTCTCCTTCCTATATAAGCCCCAAACTCCCAAACCCTGGGTAGGTGCTTCTGCTCCTCTGCGCCGTGGCCCATTGGTGCGCCTGCTTCTGGCATGCCGTGGGCAACGAGGAAGATCCTTGGGCGAACCAGGAGGCAAAGTAATACTGGGGTCCCCGGAGACTTTAGGGTTTAGGGTTTAGACTCCCAAATCCCTCTACTTCAGGAATAGACCTTACTGAACTCATAACTAGGGACCCCTAGTATGGTGTAAGGTACGGTATATGCCTTAATGAAGGGGTTTTGAAGTCTCTGTGTCGGAAGAATGAGTCTAGTCCCTCTATTAACCTAGGGCAGTTACTTGTGGGGTCATGGACTTTGGGGTTCAGGGTGAGGCGTTTACGGTTCGGGAGTCTGGTTTCGTTTAGGTTTTGCAGCATCTAGATTCTCAGGGATGTGGTGTTTAAGTTTCAGGGTAAAGCACCGGGACTTTGCTTTAGGACCTTGGCTTCGGGGCTACAACGACGTTTTCGCATCGAGTGCCATACTGTCTGAGGCTTCAGGTGTTTCGCGGATTGAGCTACTCAGCACGCATCTACCCGAAACCCCAAAATGCTAAAGCCCTCAACCCTCAGCGTAATCCGCACAGCTTTGTTTTTGAGGTCAGCCGCGGCCATCGTCTTCAGCCCAGCCCCGTTAGTGTTTATGGTTTATAAGGTCTGATTGTTTTCGAGCCTGAAAATGATGGAACATCAGCCTGCAAGCCTCCCAATACAAGCATAGCAAAACTATCATGCATTGTAACTATGAAAATACAAAGCAGCGTATTGCCATGTTACAACATGTGTATATAGATTTATACTTAGATGCATTTGTTTTGTTTATTTACAGTACTTATTCTTCATTCATTTGTTTTCCATATTGATAAAGCTGACATGGTGTAGTTTTATAGTCCTGTTCCTGAAGCCGAGGGTGGCTGGGTTCGCGAGATAGAGAAGGCTGGGGCGGGGGTTTTGGGGGTTTGGGGGTTTGGGGATTTAGGGTTTAGGGGTTCAGAGCTTGAGGGGCTTAGGGGTTTTGGGGTTTGGGGTTGCGGGTTTAGTGGTGTCGGAGTTTAGGGGTTGAGGTCTTAGAGTTTAGGGTTCCGGCTCGGAGGGTTTAGGACTTGAGGTTTTAGGGGATGAGAGTTTGGGGTTTCGGGTTTTTGGGGGTCAGGGTTTACGGTTTTCGGGTTGTGGGTTTAGTGGTTCGTGCGTTTCATGGTTAGGGTTGAACGAGGGTTCCCAAATATCAGACGCCCGGAAGCCAAGCTCTGGCCACGAAGCCCTATCCACGACGACGCATGTCACTTGGCGCGCTTTGTGTGCAGCCGGGCCCGGAGATCGACGTGGTCGGTGGTCTGTCAGCTCGCTGACGCGTCGTATGTCATCGATCGCTTTCATCGACGCAATCATACCGCGTCTCTGCAGGAAGACAGCCGCCACTAGCCACTATCCCGCCGAGGCCAAAAGCGAGAGTCGCGCTGTTCTGGCTGACCTGAACACGTCCTGGAGCGAGTCCTGGAATGCTTGGTTAGATTCTCTCACTTCGCAGATGAGGTCTATGAATGCTGCTGCCCTCGCTGTCTACATCAGGCTTCTCGCCGACCTTTAGGACACCCAAGTCATTGCCCCTCGTCCTGACGCACGTGTCCAGGGCAATGAAAGACACAAGCTGATTTCTTCAGCCGTAAGCAGTACTGTCAGTAGTGTGCAGGCTGCTACGCATGTAGTGGTGAAAGAGACCCCCCGACATTAAACCCTAAAACCAACCTTATGCCTACTTAGCTTTAAAAACTGCCCACATGGATCACCTTCTGTTGTGGACTTGATGAGAAGAGGCTGCTGGAAATGCAGGTCAGGTGCTTTAGGAAGGCGTGCGCACATACAACCATATCACGCGCAAGCGGCCGCACACATATACAAATGAATATCTACATACACACATGTACAAATGTATGTGCCTTTATCCAAATATGAGTATACAGCCACACAAATTCGTGTATGTATGTATATGTATACATATATATGTGTATATGTATATACATATCAATAGACATATGTAGACACACATGTCTATATGCAAAACGCATTTGTACGCACTTATGTAGATTGTTTTATCTGCTTTATGTGTATATATATATATATATGTATGTATGTATGTATGCAGAGTTTTTCACATAAAGATGCACAGCTACCTTATTGATGCATCATTCACATACGCATGGTTTGCTCCCCTGCTCATTTCCCTTTGCACCGGGTATTCCTCAACTATGCCTTACAAACTCTGGCATTATGCCTTTCAAAGGGAGGTGTAGTCCTGCCCCCTTCACAAACGCAAAACCAATCACCGAGTTTTGGCGGGACCCCTTGAGGGTTTCTAAACCCTAAGCCCTAAA